TGATACAAGAAGGAACATCATCTGTGGGAAAGCTCTACCGAGTTGATTGTCACAGGGTAGAGAAGATTGTTTACTTCCACAAGGAGCCCTCTGAATTCATCCCTTCCCAACTGGATTGCAAAATTCCCAGTTCCTAGGAGCCAGGGCTTGGTAGGATGTTGGCCTGACCCGGCTTCTTTTTGTGGACCGCATTTGGCCACTTGAGAAGTGGCCAGTCACTTCACCTCGTGTGCCTCAGTTTCCTCATCTGTAAAATGAGCTGGAGAAGCAAATGACAAACCACTCTAGTATCTCTGCCCAGAAAACACCAAATGGGATCACGAGGAGTCAGACATGACTGAAACAACTGGACAGCAACAGCAGAGAAGTGGAGCGCAATCTCTTGTTCTCATTATTATCTACATTGGCAACTTCGGTTCATATGGCAAGGTTTTCCGTTTCAAGACTAGACGTGTGGAGCAAATCAATTCCCAAAGTGTCAGTGGCTGGCAAATAGTTCAGCAACTATGGTAAGACCAAAAGCTTTTGGAATCGCCATGCAAGGTATTTTAATATGTTGTAAAACAAGAAAGCAAAATAACTACATGGACGTGTAAATTCAGCAAATTGCTCAAGGACTAGTGCTGGATTGCTGCTTTCTTTCCAGATAATTGGATTATGTGTTTTCTGCAAGTTTGGAATCGGGTTAATCACTTAAAATGAGAGGCATAATATCATGTTGAAGGATACAAGAAAATTTAGCTTTGTGTTTACCAAAAAAAGTCCAATTTACTCAGTCTTTTAAAAAATTCAGTTGATACTAGACCCTCTATGGTTTCATTATTATTTAAAAAGAAACAGGCTCTGAATATTTTATTCAGGATGTAAGTAAAGAATTCAGAGTTTTATAATTTTTTTTTTTAGATTTGAGACTTCTCAGCATAGTGCCTGATACATAGTAGGTGCTTAATCAGTGTTTATTGATTTACTCATCGATTGACTGCTTGACTTCTAAATGAAGACCAATACATCAGACAATTTTTGTGGTGAGAACAAAAGACTGCAAGTCACAAATGTGCCATACTTGGTCAGTCCAGAGCTTGAATTACAATCACCTACCTGAGCATCTGTGCTGTCGTTTCAGGAGGAAATTATTTTAACAAAAATATTTTCATAATCAGATGCTCAGGGTAAATGTTTGTTGTAGCCCTCGCAAACTGATAAGAAAGCGTAATGTTTTTGGAAGTCTTGAAGATTGATTGAGGGTGAAGTGCTTCAAATCTTGATAAAGGAAGATCGCCAAGTTTGTCCTCTCCTCAGCATTCAGCAATTGATTTAGTTCCTTTAAATAATAGAGAATAAACATAAGTGGAGAAGCATATAGGTTATTTATCTTCATTGATCTTTTATTTTTAAAGAAAATCAATTCAATTGAAAGGAACGCCTTTCCCCCAACCTTGGGGTGTTGGGAAGAAAATGGTATTCGAACTGGAGTAGGGAATGTGGTAGCTAGGTGGAGCAGTCGATAAAGCATCAGGCCTGGAGTCAGGAAGACTCATCTTCCTGAGTTTTAATCTGGCCTCAGACACTTACTACCTGTGTGACCTTGGGCAAGTCACTTAATTCTGTTTGTCTCTGTTTCCTCTTCTATAAAATAAGCTGGAGAAGGAAATGGCAAACCACTTCCAGTATCTGTGCCAAGAAAACCCCCTATAGGGTCCTGAAGAGTCAGATATGACTGAAACGATGGAACAACAACGAAAAAGAATTTGGTAGGGATAAGAATCTTTATGTCAGGTTTCTTCAGTGACTCAGTCTATGAACACTTAACCTGCTAAGCAGCAGGTACTTTATTGGATGCTGAGGATGCAATGACAAAAATGGAATATTTCTCGGGGATGTGAGCACATATTTGATCACATCTCCCTCTTCCCTTCCACCTCCCTTTCATCCCAGTCCCTTTATACTACTGTTTACAAACCCATTCTGAGTCACCCTGGTAGAGTGTGGCTCTGGGGATGAGATTTTAGGATCATATAGACATGGATGAAACTTTAGGGTAGATCTGGCCCCACCTTCTCCCTCTTCTCCCTATTTTACAGATGAGAAACTGAAGGCACCAAGTGTATCACATGGTACCTGTAAAGCCAAAATGATCAGGAATCTAGATTGTTGTCAAGAAGGTTTTCTTTTTTTTTTAAATCCCAAAATTCCCATTAAAAATCAAGTCCAAAAATCCAAAATGTCTAAAAAATTGAAGTCTCTCTTTAGCTTAGTTCTAGCTTAGCTCTCTCTGTGTTTATATTTAAAGCATCTGATACATGTTTGTGGTTGGCTGGTATCTCATTCTCTAACATGTATCATGATTTCCCTCCTGAAACATTTTCAGAGTTAAATAGTCACTGGGAAAATCCAGCTACTTACCTATGGTAGGCACCTCTAAATGTACAAAAATCTAAAACCAACATTATAACAATGTTGTCTCACATTCAAGCTTCAGAAAATGCAAAGAGACTGTTTCTGTTGCAACGTCCTTGTTGCCACACTGTTTGACTACTCTGGTTTTGAGGATGGGTCTGGATAAAAAGAGACATTTTTAAAATTGTGTTCAATAAGTCAGTCACTGACAAGCATCAGGTTGTGTGGACTCTTAGGCAGTGAGGCTACTGGTAGAAAACAATGGCTGATTTAGGCTCGGGAAATAAGTACACTCTTTCAGATTGCAGTAGATCTTCCCCATTCTCCAGTCCCCCCAACATGAGACAATTTCCTAAATTCACTCTCACAGTTCAGGAGGTGATGCTGAAAAGGAAGGTGATACTCAGGATTCTGGGGCTCTGTGATGCTCTTAGAAGTTATTTAAAGCAGGAAGCTGCATGTACTCTTACTATTGGGTATTTTCCATTGAGGTTTTATGACTGAACCCACGACAAATGTTTAAAAATATTTAATGATTCTATTTCAACATCTCCCCACACCTATTTACAGAGATGAGGGGTCATTAGATATGGAACATTGCATATATTGTCTGATTTTTTTTTTTGTTGTTGTTGTGGTGTTGATTATTTTTGCTAATACACTTTCTCTTTTTCTCTTTTAAAACAAATTCTTTTATGGGATGGCTCTCTAGAAGGGGAAGAACATGGGAAAATTCAGGCAACCAGTGCAGTAACAAAAGATTTCAGCAAAATTTATTTAACAAATAAAAAGAGAGACAAAAAATATACCACTCAGAATGTAGATGATATTTTATTTTTACTTTTATGTCTTAAAAACAGATCTGATAATGTTTGTGGTGAGACTATTTTTCAGCCTTTTCAAAACTCAAAAAAATTTGTTTACATGCCTTTAATGTAACTTTTCAAGTGAAAACATACAAGCTTTCTGAAAACAGTACCACCAGAAGCCAGTATGCATTAAATAGTTAAATACTGTTAGAACTCTTAATAAGAGAATAACTATTTCAACTTCAATCATCAACGGTTTTGCTGAGAAAGCCAAGAAATGTGGGGTTCGGGGATGGTGGAAGTCAGCATTTATTAGATGCCTACTATGTGCCAGGCATTGTGCTAAACATTGCGTATGGAAAGAGAAAGATGTTCTGTTGTTCAATTCATTTCCATAAATATATATTAGGTATGAACCATGTGCAAGGCATTGGTGGGATTACAAAGGTGACCATAAGATGACACAGACCTTGTCCCCAGAAGTTTGGGAGACGTGGATACAAATATCTATCATACAAGTTAGAATGGGACTGAATATGTAATCGAGGTCAGAGAAAGGACTGAGGGTCTCAGGGAGGAAAGGATCACTCCCAGCAGTCATGGCAGGCTGGTGTGGGTGGAGAATGGATGTTCTGTATTGTCTCACTGTTTGGGCTTTGTAAATGAAGGAAGGCGGAGGAAAGGAAGAGACTGATGGAGAGGCCAGAGCAATGCGAATGGCGCATTAGTGATCTCAAGGTTGATGAGGCTTGGGGAGGGTGAAAGGGGAGTTATGGTGACCATCAAGAGCTGTCTGCTGGCATTTTAATACCAAAGGTCTGATTCTAACCTAAGGATTTGAAGTGAGTTAAAGAGAAGTTTCCCCTTGATCCTGGGGAGAAAACCAAGGTGAAAAAACTATCTGTAACAGTAAGGATATAAAGACTGTATTTAATTGTACTTAGGTGTACATTTCTTTAAAAGTGATCTATAACATTATCCCTTGTCCTATTTACTGTTACTGTTTTTTTTTAATAAAGAGTTATGTTTTTAATTTTTTAAAGGGTCATGAGTAGAAAATCATGCCAGCCTCGAAGTGGATAGGGCACTGGACATGGAGTCAGGAAGACCTGGGTTCAAATCCTGCCTAAGGCACTTGCTAGCTGTGTGACCTTTGGCAAGTTGTTCAGTCTCTCCGGGACCTTCTTCATCTTAAAAAAAAAAAATAAGAGGGTTGGGCTTCTAAGGTCTCTTCCAGTACTAACTCTGGATCCTGTGATCTGTCCCTCAAGCTTGGCTATTCTTAGCACATCAGTGATGGTAGCAAATGCTAATTATAGGCCAAAATACCAAGAGGAATTGGACAGCCTCTTTCCTGAATGGTAAAATTTTAAAACTTTAAAAAAATTGTTTTTCCCTCCCATCCCCCCCCCAAAAAGAAAACCAAATAATTGTAACAAATATTCATAGTCAACCAAGACTAATTCCCACTTTGGCTGTGTCTCATTCTGCATTTTGTCATGGTGAACTTTCAGAGCTAAATATTCCAGTGACAAGGTGATGTCAAGGCTGATAGAAACAAAAGAATCATATATTCGGTGGTCCCAATTGGTGAAACCTTGCCGCTGTTCTGAAGGACTTTCCTTTTGCTAGGGAACTGAGAGTGGCTGCTATTTTTTTTCCCCAATTTTATACGTCCTTTACAGAATTAAACACAGCAAAGTCCCATTGCTTATTACAATAGCCTTCACTAATATTTACTTTGGAAAGCACAAAATGGAGTTCTTGTTCTAAAGGTAGTGTTATCTTCTCCAGCTTCTGCAGGGATCGCTGTGTCCCAGAGAAAAGTACGGCAGATCAGCGACCCCATTCAGCAGATCTTAATTCAGCTGCACAAAGTTATCTACATCACCCAGGTAGGTGCCTTCTCCTGTTCTTGTCCTTTGGTCTCCAGTGTCTCCTGGTGGCTCTACTGGTGAAGGAATGACTTTGGATGCCTTGGAGCAGTGAGGGCTTACTATCTCACTTTCTACCTCAGTGTGGCAGAAACCAGTTTCTGGCCAACAGATGAGAGAGTTAGGTGAGTTATTAGCTCTCAGGGAGCGTGGGTCTTCTAGATCCTTGATTGTAAGTTATTATATATTGTTGAAGGCAAAGAAACATGAGGAGCGTGTATTTCAAATGGCTCACCATTCAGATTCTTGGATGTGGGACTGGCAGAGAAGATTGGGTTCCCAGAAAAGCAGGCCTGGAAGCAAGAGGAAGGAGAGAGAGAAAAGGCGTCTGTCCCATCAGCCTCATTCAGAAGCGGCTGCCTCGAATCTTGGGCTGTCAAGGAATAGGCTTTGCGGTAGCTCATAAAATGCTAGACTGGTCAAAGGTAATGCTTAGAAGCCAAGACGTGCTGGAGGCAGACATCCCTCGCTGGTTCTGGAGACCTGATTGTTCTGTTTTTGGTATGGTTACTGATGCCCCTAGAAACAGGCAAATGCTGTGAATCCAGGCTTGATTTACTGTTGCACTGATTGTCTAGGCTTTAGAAAATGGTGGAGAAAAATTTAATAATTCAGATGAAGCTAAAGTGTGTGTCACGCCTCCTTTTTTAAAAAAGTTGGTTGTTAAATATTTGCTGGGATACATAACATATTGTTTAAACCATGGTAGAAATGTGTGTTGGATTTATAGTAAGGAGCCAAAGTTCGAATCTCAGCCGTGACACTTAGTAGCTATATGAACGTAGGCCAATCACTTAAACAGCTTTGCAATCTCATTTCCTCAATTATAAAAATGGAGATAAACACTCATAATAATTCACATAGGGCAAAACACTCCAAACCGGGGATTCGGGGCCTTTTATGTGAGAGAACCATTTGGCAGTTAGTGAAGCCTATGATCCCCTTTTCATGATTTATAAAGTATAAAATAAAAGATTCAGAGTTATAATCGAAAACAATTATATGGCAGTCCTTCAAAATATTTTTTAAAAAGTTCATGGGTCCCAGCCTAAAAACCCTTGCTCTAAACCTGCAAGAGCTGTTGATCTTCATATCCCCAAAATCTAGCACAAAGCCTGGCATTGAATAAAGGTTTTCCAATGATAAATATGTATTATTATTATCCTAATTTTTTTTTTTATTACACTGGGGTGTCCCAAAAGTCTTGGTGCAGCCATAAGCTCTTAAAGTTGCACCAAGATTTTTGGGACAGGCTTTTATCAAAGGATGTTGGTGGTTGAAACTGCAATCAGTTATTCAAGTCATAAGAACAATTTGCTGTCAAATTATTTGAATGTCCAACCAGCAAGCTTTTATTAAGAGCTTACAATGTGTTAAACACTATGTTAAGTGCTTGGAGATACAAAGAAAGTCAAAAACAGTTACTTGTGATAGAAAATAACCACTTAGGTCATGTAATAATAAGTGACCTTTACATAAGTGCTACAGGCATAATTATGCGTACTTTACAGATGAGGAAACTGAGGTACAGAAAAGCTAAGTGATTTATCCAGGGTCACATGGCCTATCTGTGTTGGAGACAAGATTTGAACCCAAACCTCATAGGATTGTAGATTTAGAGATGGAAGAGACTTCAGATGAGATCTTGTCCAATCCCCACATTTTACAGAAGAGGAAAATGAGGCCCAGAGAGGTTGACTGATTTGCCCAGGGTCACACAGCCGGTAAATGTTTAAGGAAGGGTTTGAACCCAGCTCTCTCCACAACACTCAGACTTCTCCTGATCCCAGTCACAGCATTCTCTGTAGTACATCATGCTCTTTTCAACATATGCCTTATTATTTATTTCTGGACAACTAAGTACTTTCATTGCTTTAAAAAAGCTGTAGGAACCATGACAGATTTTACAAGTCTTCTGCAAAACAGATGCTTCCTCCTGGCCCAGAAATCCCACTTTGGGCACACTCTGGGGGCTTCAGTCTTCTTTCTCAGGTGCCTGGAAACACTGATAGGGGGCACTTTGAAGGGCACAGACAGGTACGATATCCCTCCTCCAGGGCCTATGCCGACAGCCTCTTAACACTTTTTATTTACTACATGTATGTGTTTTTTTTTTTTTTTTACCTCCTGTAGAATTTAAGCTTTGTGAGGGCAGGGGCTGTTTCATTTCGCATTGTCTCCCCTGGACAGTGTTGGGCACATAGTAGGTCTTACCTTTCCACTCTTCTTAGACCTTGTTCCCCACCACATACTCTTCGATGCAGTGACATGGGCCTCCTGACTTTTCCACAAACAAAACACCCCTTTTCTGACTCCTGGCATTTTCCCTGGCTGTTGCCCCCCAAGCCTGGAATGCTCTCCCACCTTCACTCCACCTACTGACTTCCCTGTCTTCCTTCAAGTCCCAACTAAAATCCCGCTGATGCCCCACCAAAATCCTTTACTGCAGCCTTTCCCCAACCACTGTTAATTCTACTGCCTTCCCTGTCAAGTATTTATTTCCTGTTTATCCTGTATATAGCTTGCTTTGTATAGATTTGTTCGCCTGTTGTCTCCCCAGTTAGATTGCAAGCTCCATGAAGGCAGAGACCGCCTTTTGCTTCTTTTTGTATCCCCAGCAACTCAGCACAGTGCCTGGCACATAGTCGGCACTTAATACATGTTTGTTAATTGATTGAAATACACGTTGGCTTAGATGACCCTCTCCCAGTTCCTGGGTGGTGTGTCTCAGCTCGGTGGTCACTTCTCACTGGGTCTTGGGGGGACCCAGGAATGCTGTTTTCCTCCCTCTGAATATCTCTGGAAATCCGAAGTGGGGATGCCAAGTAGCTCCTCCAAAGTAAGGGGGCCAAGTTGCTTTAGAAGGAAAACGGCCCACTCTGAGGGAGGAGCCAGATAAATGAGGACATTCCTCCAAAACCCTGAAGCACCACAAATCTTTTATCACATTCTACTGCCTATACTGTCATTTGTCTGCTACTTGACTATAAATTACCTGAATAATAATGATCATCATAATAATAATAGTCATGATAGTGATGTTGCTGATGATGATGGCTAGGATTTACTTGGGGTTGTAAGGTTTACAAAGTACTTCACATGCGTTACCTCATGGGGTCCTCACAAAATCCCTGACAGGTAGGTGCTGTTATTAGCCTTATTTTACAGATGGGGAAAGTGAGATAGACAGAGGTTAAATAACTTGTCCAGAGACACACAGCTAGTAAGTGTCTGAGGCAGAATTTGAACTCG